TTGTCTCATCACAGAAGTAGACTAGTTGATACCAAGTTCATGCAGCTGGCTTTGGAAGCCTACACCTGAGAAAAAACAAGGCCACAAACTTGCTTGTTTTGAGGATAGTCTTGAAAAGCAGGGCTGTGAAGCAAATTAGTAGGAAATTAGAATCCAGAGAAGCATCTGTTTCCTTGCAGTATGGCTAAAAATAATCAGCAATGCACTCATCACTTCTCTTTTCCAAATCTCATGCAACTATGCTATTGGTGGATCTAAACATGGTAAAATAAAAGGAAGCAATTCAGCAAAATGATCCAGGTTGAACTGACAAAGTTTGAAAATAATTAATTCTAGAGTATCCTTTAGAAAAAGTTTGCATAGTGCTAATTTCTATCAAATACTAGAAAGGAAAATGGAATAAGGAATCTGGCAATTAAAACATTCTGTCAATAAGAAAGTATATATAAGACATCCATCACCTACCACAATCGGTAAATTAGGATAAATTTGAATATGTATGTCAATATACTAATAACCATTTACTTGTGGAACACAAAATATAACATTTAAAATTACAATATATTTCATATTAAAAAAACAGTTTAAAGCAAATAAACAAAATAAATCGGCCCAGGTGACTTTAAACTTAAAAGGTATTAGATTAATATGAGAAAGGGAAAACAAAACAAAACACAACCTGGGCAAATTTTCATATCATTACTAAAAGGTATATACAGAAGTCTTTGCTACCTTAATTCTTATTTAAGAATTAACTAAAAATACAGGCCCAAGAGCTGTCCATAATAGATGAGGTACTGACAAAGGCAATACTATAGAGAGAGCTTTTCTAAGAGTTTCTAGTGTGAGTATCTGACAATATTTTTTATAAATATCTAGGAAGCATTCATACATTACACTGATAAGTGTTTCACTCTACTGTGTGTTCTCACATGATAGCGTAAAGCTGAAGAAGACACAAAAGCCTTCCCACATTCTTTACATTCATAAGGTTTCTCTCCAGTGTGAGTTCTCATATGTTTTGGTAAAGATGAGGGACACTTGAAAGCTTTCCCACATTGCTTACATTCATATGGTTTCTCCCCAGAATGCATTCTTACATGGCGTCGGAGATATGAAAGTTGATTGAAGCCTTTCCCACACTGTTTACACACAAAGGGTTTCTCTCCGGTGTGTGTAATCATATGTGCTCGTAAAGAAATGGACCAGTAGAAGGCTTTCCCACACTGCTTGCATTCATAAGGTTTCTCACCAGAGTGCATTCTCATATGTGCTCGTAAGGAGATGGACCAATTAAAAGCTTTCCCACATTGCTTACATTCATACGGCTTCTTTCCTGTGTGCATTCTCATATGCACTGTTAAAGATGAGGCCCACTTGAGGATTTTCCCACATTCCTTACATTCATAAGGTTTCTCTGCACTGTGCATTCTCACATGTCTCCGAAGGTAGAAGAGCTGATTGAAGCCTTTCCCGCATTGCCTGCATTCGTAGACTTTCTCTTTGCTGTGAGTCCTTTCATGCCTTCGGAGGGATTGGAGATAATAGAATGCTTTTCCACATTCCTTGCATTCATAGAATATCTTGCCAGAGTGCTTTGTCATATGTTCCCGTAAGGATATGGGCCAACTAAAGGTTTTCCCACAATCTTTACATTCATAGGGTTTGGCTCCAGAGTGTGTTATCAAATGTCTACGTAAGGAAAAGTGCCAATGAAATGTTTTTCCACATTGATTGCATTCATAAACTTTCTCTACAGTGTGCACTCTCATATGCCTTTGTAAGCATATGGGCCAACTGAAAGCTTTTCCACATTGCTTACATTTATAAGATTTTTCTCCACAATGTGATCTCCTATGTGTGCGTAATGATATAGGCCATGTGAAAGCTTTCCCACATCGCTTACACTTATAAGATTTTTCTTCAGTGTGTGATCTCATGTGTGTTTCTAAAGATATGGGCCATTTGAAGGCTTTCCCACATTGCTTGCATTCATAAGGTTTCTCTCGACTGTGTGTCCTCATGTGTCTTGTTAAAGATGAGGGCCACTTGAAGGCTTTACCACATTCTTTACATTCATTCAATCTCTCTTTATTGTGAGACTTTTCATGTCTTTGAAAGGAGTCAAGAAAACTGAAGGTAATTCCACATTGTTTACATTCATAGAGTTTCTCTTTACTATGAACTTTTTCATGCCTTCGATAGGATCGTAGATGGATGAATGTTTTCCAACATAATTCACACGTGTAAGGTCTTTCTCCACTGTGAATTCTCACATGCCTTCTTAGTTCTGATGGGAAAGCAAAGCCTTTCCCACATTCTGGGCATTGATAGGGTTTATGTCCAGAATGATTTGCAATGTGCCTCTTAAGTGAGGAAGGATACATGAAGATTTTTCCACACTCGGTGCATTCATATGAATGGACTCTAGTAGTTGTTTTCTTGCACAGATTAAGATTTGGAGTCTGGCTGAAGGCTTCTCCCCACTGATTACCTTCATTACTTTCACAGAGTTTCTCGACTATATAATCTCTGTCAAAATATAAAACATGTTATCAGTAATATAGTAAAGATTAATATGTGTTAACGATTTCATTTTATTCATTCTTGTAATAATTATAAATCCAACCTTCCTTATTTTCTATTCTATCTGAATTGTTTGAAAATAAAATACATTCAAACAGGAATTTACTATAGCCATTATTAAAACTTTTTTTTTAAATCGTTTTATTAGGGGCTCATACAACTCTTATCACAATCCATACATACATCAATTGTGCAAAGCACATTTGTACATTCATTGCCCTCATCATTCTCAGAATACTTGCTGTCCACTTAAGCCCCTGGCATCAGCTCCTCAAAACATTAGTTCTTATATAGATCACTTTTTCCAACAAAATTTTGTTTCAAACAATCAATTCCTAGTCACAATAAAGAGGAATGTTTCTGTAAAAATCTCTTCTGAATAAATAAAGAGGGAGCTAGGTGTATAAGGGTTTCTTGTTCATTCATTTATATGTGCTACTCACCTCAGAGGTATACCCTGGTTTTCATTATGATCTTCAGTGTAACGACCTTCCCAAATTTTTCCTAAAATGGAGGTCCAAGAATCATTTCCTGTAAATTTTCGTATTTTATCTTCCTTGGATAGTTTTTCGACATGAGTTTCCCGTTCAGAAATGGACACATTGGCCTTACATGGGGTCTCACCATCTGAAAACAAAAAGTGAACAATCACACAAGGAAGTAGGCTCCGGTTTGTCTAACGGATACGTTGAAGAGTTTAGGTGTTAAAGACTTCACCCATAAATGGCACAAGGGGTCAAAATGGAAAGCAACTTAATAGAAACAGTAAAATTTCTCCAAGTTTGCCCAAAACAAACTTCTCTAGGTCTTCATATGATCCATAAAACATACCCACATGGATGACGTTAAGTGAAATTCAAATCTTTCATCCAAGGCAAAAAGGAAAACTCACTGTAATATATAGTTTGTCACTGTCATAGAGTGGAACATTACATTCTATCTCCTGGACAGTGGTAACCATGTTTGTCTTACTGACCAATGTATGCCTCTTCCTACCTCACTAGCTTTAAAATAGGCCTAGGAAGCAAAAAAAGCTACTTCTCTAAATAACTAAATGAAGAAGTAATGTCATGCTTACCTACAGATGTCAAGTTCCTGAAGGTTTCCAGCATCACATCTCTGTAGAGCTTCCTCTGCACAGGATCCAGCAATGCCCACTCCTCCAGAGTGAAGTCCACAGCCACATCCTCCAAGATGACTGAATCCTAAAACACACAGCTTATTTATGAAGGAGGATAGGTAAGTTAGACAGCACTGGGAATTAAATTGGATTCCATAGTAAGTTGAAACAGGAATCTAGAACCTCCTAACTACCCTATGACTTAGTTATCAGATCTCACTCTGTGTTTACATGAACTACCTCATAGATTAAAGAGTTCTGCTGACACATGGACATTGTCTCCACAATTTCACTGTGGGCACTTCAAGACCTAGTCATCTCTATCGGAAGGGGTCAGGTTCCAATGGAAATACTAATTCAAACAAAATACTTTCCATTTTAAGACAACCAATGCTACATCCTAAAATCATTTCATCTGTTTCTATCCTGTGCACCACACTAATTAGCATGACAGGAAGCAGATGATAAGTCCTAAACACTTTTAATCAAAATACATATGAAGAAATGAATGCAATTATTAGCCATTGACAGATGCAAATCGAGACAGCAATTTCACCCCAATAATTAACAGTAAACTTTTTTTAAGCCAAAACAACAAATACTGTAGCCCTCATATACTGTTGGAGGGTTTATAAAATGGTACAACTGTGGGATGCAAAAGGTTTTTCCCCAGGTTGTCTCCCCAAAATATATGCCAAACCTAGAATGCTGCTTGTATCACATGGTAGAGGACTGTATACTTGGAGGTCAATACAAGCTGCTTAGAGGTTAATCTCCCTGGGATTTATCAGCCTCTAGAGCAATCAGATGTATAGTCTGTCCCACCCTAAGTAGGGATCACTCCCTTCTGATAAGGACAGTGGATTGTTTCCCTGAAGGAAAGCTCAGAGACAAGGTAGAGCCCACTCAAGGGTGACCAAGTTTAGGCTGCCATCTTGAATCTAGAGTCCAACCATCTTGTCATGTGTGTACCCCTAATCCCTCCCCTTCTTATTACGTGTACACCCCTAGCTCATCCCCTTCCCATGATGTGTATGCCTATTGTACAGCCCCTTCCTGTGACGTATGTATTTACCTATAATCAGGGGGGTTTGCACACCCCTAAGTATCTATAGACCTTGGTCAGAAATAAAGAGGCTCTCTCCCCTCTCCTCCTCCTGCTCTCTGTGGGGACCTGGCTGCTGAGATCATGGCCATCCAGGAGGTGAGCATGCGACCATAAAATGTGTCTGATTCCTCTATCTTCTCCCTACCTCTCCTTTATAAGTTATCGCTGTACAATTGCATCTACGGACTACCCCTCCCCCCCCATGATTGTAGAGAATGGTTACTCTGACAGTAAAACTACAGTGGAAAGCAATATGGTGCTCCCTCAAAAAGTTGGAATTAGAAATACCGTATGTCCCCCAATCCCTCTGCTTGGTATACATCCTAGAGAAATAAGAGCTGTAATACGAATACCTACATGAATACCAATGTCCATCACAGCATTGTTGACGATAGAACGGCGATGGAAACAATCTAAGTGACCATTAATGGAACTATGGATAAACAAACATTGGTACAGATATACAATGGAATACTATCCACTGCTGAAAATCATGAATCTGGGGGGGAAAAACATAACGACATTATCTTGAGTGAATATAGTCAATCAAAAAAGATAAATATTCTGGAGACACAGTGTGGGAACTGCACCTGATCTGACCCTACCACATTGAGGCGAAACACTAAGGTGTATGCAACAGAACAGCAAGGGGAACAGAACAACAAAGTCCCTAGGGAATACCTAAAATAGACTTTGGGGCCAGGGCATGGCACCCCATCAGACTCAATCAGAAAACATTCCTAAAGGTCAACAAACAGACCTTGAACTATTTACAGGCTTTTCACTTTTTTGTTATTGGTTTTTGTTGTTGTTTTGTTTACTTTTGTTGCTTTGTTTTGCTCTGTTTTGGTTTTTTGTGCATATTATTATCTCTGCGGGTCTATCTAGATAAGATAGGCTGCATAAACAATCTGGAGGAGAAGACAACAAGATTTGTGGTTCTTGGAGGACATGGCAGAGGGGGAGGCAGGGGAAATGAAGTGGGTGTTAACACACCCAGGGACAAGGGAACAAGTGATCCAAAATTGATGGTGAGGAGGGGGTAGGAGGCCTAGTAGGGCTTGATCAAGGGCAACGTAACTGAGAGGAACTAATGAAACCCAAATGAAGGATGAACATGATAGTGGGACAAGAGGAAAGTAAAAGGAAATAGAGGAAAGAACTAGGAGGCAAAGAGCATTTATAGAGGTCTAAATACAGGCAGGTACATATGTAAATATATTTATATATGATGATAGGTAAATAGCTCTATGTGCATATATTTATAGGTTTAGTATTAAGGTAGCAGATGGACATTGGACCTCTACTCAAGTACTCCCTCAATGCAAGAACACTTTGTTCTATTAATATGGTATTCCATGTTGCTCACCTTCCTGACAACATCGCCAAAGAAAAAGCAGATGCACAAACAAATGTGGTGAAGAAAGCTGATGGTGCCCGGTGCGTCTGGAGTCTTAAATGCTTGAGGGTAAACAAGCAGCCATCTAGCTGAGAAGCAACAAAGCCCACATGGAAGAAGCACACCAGCCTGTGTGATCACGAGGTATTGATAGGTTCAGGCATCAAAGAAAAATCCTATCATTGTGAATGAGGGAGAGTGCAGAGTGGAGACCCAAAGCCCATCTGTAGGCCACTGGAGATCCCCTTGCAGAGGGATGGACAACAGAAACGTGGGTGAAGGGAAACATTGGTCAGTGTAAGATATGAAAAAATAATAATAATTTATAAATTATCAGTGGTTCATGAGGGAGGGAGGGTGGGGAAGGGAGGAGAAAAAATGAGCTGATACCAAGGGCTCACGTAGAAAGAAAATGTTTTGAAAATGATTATGGCAACCAATGTACAAATGTGCTTGACACAATGGATGAATGGATGGATTGTGATGAGTAGTACGAGCCCCCAATAACATGATTTTTTAAAAAGAAAGAAGAAATAAACATTCTTTAATGTTTCAGGGGTAGAACTGGAAGGGAAGGAAGGGAAGTCACGTATGGGCTAGAGGGTAGACAAGTGTTAATTTGGGTCAAAGGAGAAGGCAACATATAATAAATAAGCTGGTTGGTAAAAAATGATGGTGTCATGACAAGACATTGAGAGGTTTGCAAGAGTTAAAGGGTACAGAGGCAAAGACTATTATAAACATAATCCTGCAGTAGTAGTGATCTATGAATAGAAGCTAGAATAGACACACAGGCTGAACAGGTGTGGAAGGGAAACTCGGTGCACTCCCTCAAATATATAGATTTGACAGGGGATATTTGTATATGTGTACCTTTGTTAAGAATATATCCATAAACGTAGTTGAGCATAATCAAACACCTAGAGGGAATGAGTTGCTGGGATGGGGGCTCAGGACCATTGTCCTGAGGGACACAAAGGTCTTTACCTAGTTTACAAAGCCATCGTTCTACATTCTACTTTGGTGAATAGATACCAAGGTCTTAAATGCTTGTGAGCAGCCATTTAATGTGCAACTATTGATCTCTCCCAGTCCAAAAGAAAGAAGATTGATAAAACTCAAAAGGCCACAAAAACAATTAGTCTTGTGTTAGTCCAAATTGACTAGAGAAACAATTCCAGAGAGACTCATATATGTATAATAAAAAACATTACATGAAAGAGCAATTGAATATTAAGGAAACATCCCAGCCCAGTCCAGATCAAGTCCATAAGTCTGATATTAGCCCATATGTCTGACATCAGTCTATAAATTCCTCTTCAGACTCACACAACACATGTAATGATGCTGAATGTAGGAAGATCACAGGCCTGTGGGTGGAAAGTCTTGTGGATCCAGTGGCAGTGGAAGCATCTGCCATCAGAGTGGCTCCATGTGGCTTGTCAATAGGAGGTGTAACAGAGAGAGTACGTGTCCCTCCTCCAGGGAGGAAGA